ACTCTAAAAAATACAGGGTTATTTTTTCTACCCAAATCTTGGGTTGAGGCATTTGTTTGAATTTTTTGGGGGTTATTTTCAGAGTCTTGGGTAGTTTCAACCCAGCTCTTTGGGTTAAATCAACTCACAGCAGGGGCTGACTGGGATACCACATATTATATACTAATTTGTTTAAATGCAATGAAAATAGTGTAGCATAAACGCAGATTCTCTGCATTTACAGATGATTAAAATGAGATTTATGCTCATAGTCAGACCTTTCTGAATTTAAAAAAAAATTCTTACTAGCACCATTCGTACACCTGTAATCAAAGCTGCACATCCCCCACCGTACTTCAGTGACGCCGAGTCAAAACAGCACAATTGCTGGGTCATCTTTCGCAGGCATTTTTGGATCAAATTAACCCATTATTTAAGTAAAACGAACCAATTATTGTGCAGAAAAAAACAACCCATTTATGGGGTTAAAAATAATAACCCAATTACTTGGGTTAATTTAACCCCTGATGTGTTTTGTCCCATATTTACCCAGCAGTAGGGTTAAAAACAACACAATTTGGGTGTTTTTTGGAGTTTAGACCGGTCACATTAGACCCATGTAGTGCATCAAAGGGTTAACAGACAGAATTACTTATAACCCAACTGATGTCAGTTTACCCCATGTGTGATAAAAAAGTGCAGGTTTAATGAACAACATATTTTACACCATTAATATCTGACACTATATTAGCTGCTATTAGCTGACATATTTACAACCAAATTGATGTCAGTTTTCCCAGTTTATTATATGAAATTACTGGGTAAAAATAGGCTACGCACTGTACATGGTATATATATATATATATATATATATATACACACACAGTCTATATATGATTCTATATGAGCAGTTTATCCAATGTGTGATTTTAAAATTTCATCATATTTGACACCATTAACATCTGACACAACAACCAAACTAATGTCTGTTTTCCCAATTTGTCATATGAAATTACTGGTTAAAAATACATAAGCTACATACTGTACATAAATATATATATATATATATATATATATATATATATATATATATATATATATATATATATATATATACACACACACACACACACACACACACACACACACACACACACACACACACATATATATATATATATATATATATATATACACACATACATACATACACACACACACACACCAATATATATTTCTATATGAGCAGTACCGTACATATGTGATCTAAAATTGCTGGTCTAATAACCCGGATTCGACACTTAATATTTGACACAATAACTCAGTGTTTAGGCGTTATTAGCTGACTGAATTATTTACAACCAACTGATGTCAGTTTTCCCAATTTGTCATATAAAAATTATCCAGCAAACAATTTTGTTTAATATACGTCTAATAGATTTCTAAACATAGACAGCTTGGCTAAAACAAGACTAAACTTCTAATATATAAGAACAGCTCAAAACTAAACTATTTGCCAAATAGACAGGTTAGACAGACTTTATATAGTCATTCATTTCTGTTTATTTGATGACTAGTCTAGTTTTGGCCTATTTTTAGACAACTATTAGATTTTCACTGACAGCCCAAGTGTAGATTGAGGTAAAGTTGGTTTTATATTTGCACATTTGTTTAGTGACAACTTGATACCCTCCCTATATTGTTTACTATTGTACTTTGAATATTCGGACATGCAAATATGACTTTAATGCAACAATAGTACTATTTATTTGACTGTGAACAATGTTGTACTATCTGAAATGTTATTATTAAGGAGAGAGTCCAAATCTGTGAATATTAAACCAACTGCACCTCAATCTAAATTTGGGCTCTCAGTGAAAATCTAATTTAGCCTTGTTTTGTTTTGACGATTGGGTTTAGACGTCTATTAGACATCTATTACACATCTTTAAAAAAAATCCTTGCTGGGTACTGGTTTAACAAGCGTTTATGCAAATAACATGTTAAAGTCTTAGCTTAGTTGTCTGAAGAACTTACAACATACTCGATTTGATGTCCGTTTTCCCCACACTCGTGATGTAAAACGATTGGTTTAACGATCTAAATCGTTTTCCTCAAACAATATCTGACTGGACATAACACACCCCTGAGTTTAGCTTCTCGTTTGCCTTGATGACTAGTCCAAGTTCACCTCTCATCCAGCAAAACAAATGAAGTCATTCGAGTTCAGCGAAAGCCAAAAATCAACCAAAGTTCTGTCAACGCGACTTGACTTATCGCTCGACAATAAACAACCGTCCACTGTCCATTTCATCTGGAGGTTAAGTCGAGTTTATTACCGACGCCTCGGCCGGCTTGCATTAAGCAAATCATAAATTATGCATGCTAATTACCTTGGGCTCCCACTGTAATGAATTCTTTTAATTAAACCAGCGCATTGTGGTTTTGCGTGGCGCGCTCTATATTTCATCCCTCCTGCTTGGGATGACCTTCTTCTGCAGGAGTGGATCATGTAGTGGATGCTTCGCTTTTGTCTTTGCTTACACAACAGAGTTCACGCCGGTGTTAATGAACAGAGAAAACCCACTCGAAGACAACTGAGGCCTCCGTCATTACGAGCCCTGAAATCACAACAAGCTAATGCTCTCCAGCATAATGTGGAGAAGGTAAAGCACTCGCCTGACAGCGCTGATTTGAAGAGGGCAGATTATATCGACACGAGTTCAGAGGTGTGCTGCACATAACTACACAGTGGTTTACTTAAAAGAAAGTTTTGTATTCGAATGCACTCCGAACATATATCTGATATTAAAGCACCCGAGCGATCCTGCGTTTCACAAACAATTACAACTAATATGCTAATTGTATGCTGACATTTTGAAGAAGTTGTTTTGAAACGATTAAAACTTAATAGGTGTCTTCTTTAAAAAAAAAACATAGACTTTATTTGTTTTTACAGGAATTGGCTATCGAGGTTTCATTTAGTATTATCTGCACGAAATGTAAAGCTGAAGATTTTAAATTCAACCCTATAAAAAGGATTTTATTGAACATGATACCTTAATAAATACAGAAATATAATTTGAAATTATATTTGTTTTGTATTGTTAGTACGCCAGTACGTTTAGCAGTAATGCAATGTGTGCGAATATGGGGAAAAATCTACAGGTTATTAATAAAGTAAATAAACACAATAATCGAATTATGCTGTTATGCAAAAAATGCATTAAACTATCTCATGATATTTATGTTGGTTTAAGTCTTTACTATTTTTATCTATTAAAATTAAAGTTATTAATATTTCTGCACAGTTCTTTTTATATCTTGTTAAATTGATCAATGTATTTGTCGTTTCGTTAAAACAAATAAACAAATAGTTTTTAGCATATTTTCACACTATGAAATCTGTCGATTCGGTTTAAATGTCTATTTTGTTTTTTAAACAAACAAAAAAAAAAATTAGATATTCCATTTGTGTTTCCCCTGTAAAACATGTCTATTTTTTATACATAACCATTTACATATAATAAACATAACAATTTTAAGACGCTGAATTTATTTATGCAAAGCATGTCCCATTTGTCTTTAAATATGATCATTAAAATTGCGTCTATTTTCCCCTCATGAAATGTTAAACATAATTATTAATATAATAATATAACACACAATTGTTAATAAAATGTTGTATTATCTCTGTAAAACGTGTAGGCTATATTTTATTCTTAATTTAATTTAAAAAATACGCGATAAACTAGAGTAAACATCAACACAACACAATGTCAAACCCCAAAAAGAAAGTAAAGGAAAAGAAAAGCGAAAAGAGAAGGGTGGAAAAAAAAAACTTGCAGTGTTGTGCAAACAGTCTCTCAGGGGGAGGGGTTGGATTTAAATTCCAAAGGGGTCTCAGAACTCGTTTCCTAGTCCCCCAGTCAGCTATGTGTTTGTGAGAAATCGGCCTTTTTGTCTTGCTGAAAAAAGACTAAATCTACATCGGTGGCCCAGTCTAAGTTTGCAATTCTTTGCACTTTCTATTCAAGTGAATGAGGGTGAATGAAGTGGCCAGGGACCCTTTATTTGATCAGCTCAATTGCATAAAGTGACGGAATTCTAATGTATTTGCTTAATATCCCGGAGAAGGCTGATGCTCTCTGTGCGGGGACGCAAACAATGCACCTGTTTCTCGCATTCTGACCGCGACATATCCTTTATCGATGGACCCCCCATTAAATCCGAGAGTAAAATAGAGGGTAAAATGCTGGAAAGCGGTGTAAAAAAAAAAATTCGGGTGTTGATATAAAAACGTGGGACACATTTCAAGAGTAATTAAAATTGAAAATATTAAAATAAAGCGTTAGGTGAATTAATTGTTTATTTGTTTTAGTTTTAATTTAATTATCGATTTAGGAAAAAACATTTAAATGATTTATACATAGTTGTATTTATGTATTAAAAATAAATATACAGGCAAACGAAGCATTTTCATCCTCAGAAATGCCTTTTTAAGTTTAAAATGTAAATGTAAAGGTTTAGACTGTGGCTGAAGCGAGAAGCTGTGCTGATGAATGAGTCTGCTTGTGTGTGCTGTGACTGCGGCACAGTAACTTCACGCATCCTAATCAAGAGCTTCATTCATTTATTCCAGTCCGTCGCGTTTTCCTCGAAGAAAAGTGCTCACCTGCATCAAGCGATGAGCGAATTTAAATAGTTAAAAATAAATGTTATGGTAATATATCTGTAATATACACACGTGGTTATTGTACAGTAAATAAAAAGACGCTTAATCTTGGTGAGACTGTTGATAGTAAAGCAAAAATATTGCGAATGTTGCCCAACTAAAGTTTGTAAAAAGAAAAGGAGATGCGTTGTTTGTTGTAGTGTTTGTTTGTTTTTAATATGACCTGATTATAGCAGTGATAATAATTAGTGTTTGCTTTACACAAGTGTGCATGAGTATTTTAGTTGTGTGAAGAAAGAGAAAACATCCGCTAAAATAATAAAAAACGAACACAAGAGCAAATGTGTAAGTTTACACCATTTTAATGAAAAAATATTCTGATGACCAAGTTCGTAATTTAATGCAGACGTTTTGCACATCTTTTAAAAGCACGCATGCTTGCAGCAAAACAACACAAAGTCTGGAAAAAGGCATGCTTTATATCTGAACAAAAAGTACAAATGTACGGCATTTTAATACACATGGTCACCACGGCTTTAAATTAAACGCTCACAAAACATTTCCTGCAAAATATAATGTAAAACATCTAACTAAAAAGTGCATTTGACACAATTTCAATATCACTTATTTGCAATTATTCACATATTTACTTAATGACCCTATCCTATTTTAACTTCAAGTTTGCAATTGTAGCATACTGTACTTGTGTGTGTGTTTGTGTGTTTGTGTGTGTGTGTGTGTTTTAGATCAAGTATTTGGTTTGCAGACTGAGACAAGTTTAGTCGTCTAGAAAGTTAGTAGCATGACTACCAACCCTAAAAATAGTGAGCATTCCGACTTATACGCACATAGTGTTTCAGTGTACTATCAGTTATCTAATAGGCGATATAACCTGCGAGAAAAACGACGAGCACTTGCCTTGTGCGATTCAAACACGATCGCAGTGCTTGGATTTGTCGAATAAACACATAAATTCTGGATATTTAGGTTGTAAAAAAACAAAACAAAAACTCTTCATTTTACAATATGATATCCGTGTCGATCCATGTGATTGGACTCATCAAAAGCAACACTTAGAAATCTCAACACATACACATAAATTAACACCACTGCAACATAGATAGCTCTTGCCTTGATTGTATAGCCAGTGTCTGTCAAGGTCTATAATTAAAATTCAACTTTGGAGTACAGGTGCTGACCGGCAGGCCCAGTCCGCAGGTGTCAGTGCACCGCGACCGACTGCAGCGTCGCGGGTCCCGTCAGGGTTTCGCTCGGGGTGGCCGGGCTGCTTTGGCTGGTCGCTGTCTGCGGGGACGTCGGGCTCAGAGATTGCGGAGAGTTCGATAGGAATGCCGGGATGTGGTGAGGCAGCGCCGCCGGGGTCGGCTTGATCGGGACGGGGATCGCCGGTAAGGTTTGTCCGCCGTGGCAGAGCGACTTGATGGGCACACCGTAGGCACTATAATCGCTGCTTGTCATGGAGATGGGAGCCGCGCTGTCCATCATACTAGTGCTGTACATATGGGGCCAGGCTGTGGTCAGCTGGTTGTGGAGGGGGTACCCGGTGGAGAACGCCAGTCCTCCGGGAACTTTGTACTCTCGGGCGATGATGTTCTCGATGGCGAACGGGTGCTTGAACGTGGACGGCTGGGAAACTCCCAGGTTGTAGCTGGACATCTGAGGGAGGTGTGTGCCTAGGGCACTGAGCCGGAGCTTGGCGTGCTGCTGGAGGTAGTGGGCAGCGTCTGAGGGCTTGCTGGGTGCCAGGTGCTCTGATGTCATCACCTTGAAGCGTTTGCGGCGTCGCAGGAAACTTCCGTTCTCGAACATGTCTCCGCAGCTGGGATGGAGCGCCCAGAAACTACCCTTCCCGGGCTGGTCCGGGCGCCGGGGGATTTTAATGAAGCAGTCGTTGAAGGAGAGGTTGTGGCGGAGGGAGTTCTGCCAGCGCTGGGTGTTTTCCCGGTAGTACGGAAAGCGATCCATGATAAACTTGTAGATCTCGCTGAGAGGGAGCATCTTCTCCGGACAACTCTGGATGGCCATGGCGGTGAGTGAAATGTAGGAGTACGGCGGTTTCTGATCGCTGTAGGTGTTTCTCCCGGGTCTGGGCATCCTGTCCTAATCGCGTTGAAAGTCAGTCGGGGAAATTCAGTATTTCGCAAGTTTTGTTTTCGCCGAGACGCGGACGTCCTGCGAGTTCACTTCTTGAACTCAAGAAAGAACAAGTGTCTTCCTTCTTTCCAGGCCAGCTTGAATGGACCAGATCCCCTCTCTCTCGCACACACTCACTCTCTCTCTCTCTCTCGTTCTTGATATGACTAAGAGCTAAGTGGCTGCCTCCATGTCCTTCCTCTAACCATCTGATAGTTTTATGTGGCGACATGGGCAGAAAAGACCCCTGTAGAGGCGCTTCATTAATGTGCCACTTCTTCGCTATCACATGACAATCGCCTTGGGAGGAGGGGGGCTGGGAGAAAGGCATAATCTGGTTTCATTTACACCTATTTACATGGACACCTTGGGCCAATAGAAATCATTTCCATTTGAAGACAGAGCAAAGGGGTGAAAAGGCTCGGCAACCGGAATTGAACTGCGATGGCACCCGGTAACAGTGTGTGAAGGTATGTGTGTGAACCTTTCTGCGCGCTTCGTAGGGTGCTCGGTCTACAATTCACACGTACAAATGGAGCTACTGAGCAATGGGATGTTTGACATGGAAATTGGCTGGAACTTGCATGCAGTTTGCATTGTTACTTTTTGCTTGTCTTGCTGTCATGACACAGTTCGTATGACTTTCGCCGGCTTTGTTACGCCTCATGTCAATTGCACCCCAACGTAAACATGCGGAGGGCAAATTAAACCGTGTAGCGACACATTTTCTTCGTGTATTTCCACATGACTAACCTGAGCGCCTCGTTATTATAATGAGCCAAGGGAGTCATACATGTGTCATTTGGCCCATAAGCATATGTTTATTGGCAACTAGGAAATGAGCTTCACGGATGGTCTTTTACAGCAGTCAGGCGATATATTTGATTAAATGACAAGAACAATTTAAGACGAACGTGCACATATTAATCGCTGCTTAAAGTGCAAGTTAAATTGCTGCATTCAAATTAAAATTATTTATTCTTAATAGAAATAAGTTAAACTTTGAATTAAAATAAATTCTTAACGAGTACAAAACAATTTAGTGAATAGGAACAAAAATGTTAAGGCACGATGATGAGAATGTATAGCCTATTTACCGTGCAATTAATAACAATACGACTAAATAATTACGCATAGTTCATTACACGGTGCTTACTTATGCAAATACGCATTAACACTGTAATGTAAAGTGTGAAGAAATGATCAAAGCACATTTGGCAAATGATTTATATTCGCTTAAATTTAGAGCCAAATCTCATTATTGCGGTTTTAAATGCGCGGGCACATCCGACAATATTAACAGCAATACTTGAGATACCTCTTGACGAAGACGAAGACTGGATAAATATAAAAAAGCACGACCTGCGAGCACAGTAAGGCGCTCCACGTGTGTTAATGCAGGATAATTCGCATTATATTTTTTTTATGCAAATTAAAAGTGTGAGATTTCTTCTTATAAAGTCACACAAGACGTGACCCGGAGGGCGCGTTAGAAAATGTGCAAACATTTAAACAAAACAAAACAAACAACAACAAAAAAACCTTCTTGAAATGAAACTTCATGATGCCAGGCGGGCTTTTGTGCTCATGTAAAGCACACTGAAAAGTACTTCAGATATGCAAATAAAGCCTTCAGAGTGGCGTTGTGAAAACTGTATAAAATATCCATAAGTCAATTATATGAATGTGAAAACCAAATGGAAGCCTATTTTGAGCAATGGCCATTCAAGCTTTTTTTTCAGGGCTCAGCAAGGGCCACCTTTCCGCTTGGCGAGTTTGCAATGAGATGGACCACACACGAGCTCGCGGATTTGCTCATAATTTATGCAAATTTCCCACCATAAATCCACCAATGAGACCCCTGACTGCTCTGACGGATCGCGAATAGAATCAACCATACAAGTGATTAGAAGCGATGCGCATTGTTTATTTTGATGCCTGTTTGGAAGATGCAGGAGGGAAAAAGGTCTGTATCTAAACCGCGTGAAGAGAAAGAGAGGGAGAGAAAAAAACCGGCAGCTAATATTTACAAAACAGGAGGAAAGTACCAAGCACAGCGTTATAGTTTCCTTGGTTGCCGCACAATCACCGTCTCAAAAACACTTTCTTTCCAAGCTAGGAAGTCATGCAGCTTCTCGCTGCGCCATGAAGTACCTCTTTTTAACTTGTCATTCCTCTGCTTGTGTATTGACAGAAAAGGGCCAAAGGATTCCAATTTTCCAGGCTTCTTTCACATGAAGTTTTCCAGAGTTCTTCAGAGGCTGTCTTTGGGAAGCGGCGGCGAGCTTGTGTGACAGAGCAAGTATTCTTCAATGAATCTGCCGACAAAAAGTATCCGGCACCTTCAGTGCGCGTGACAGAGAGAGGGGAGAGTTTGTGTTTGCCCTCATAAAAAGCATTTATTTCTCTGCCCAAATGTTTACCCAGACAAGAAACAATGGAAAAACAACTATGTGACTTTCAAGTGTTTTTAAGGATGCGTTCGGCATAAAAATAACACCCGATAAAACACTTCACACGAGAGTGTACGCACACAACTGGATAATATAAACGAAAACCCTCTGTGGATATGGGTTTGGTATATGCTTATTTACATATATCAAACTTTTACATGATATCAAATTGATTATCATTTCAAACATTTAAATATACACTTCATTTATATTATATATCTTATTTTAGTACATTTATCTGTCTATTTGTTTGCGATTTAAATTAAAACTAAATATTGACATAATAAAATATAAATCAATTAAAAAACACAAACGTATTATTTAAATAATTCTTGTGCTAATTAAATGCATGCCTGCTTAAACACTATGACATTTAAAAATGTAAACACTAACTAAAACGAGCATATTGAATAAATACACGACGCAAATAAACATTTTTAAAATTGTCATATAAAATTGCCATTGTCACTATTCAATTATTATGTTCAAAGTCCCCCCTTTTTGGATCTGTTCCCAGACCCTTTTAATTACACGTGTACCGTGTAAAATGTATTTGCAATATTATGCAAATGAGGCCGGTCGCCCGCGCGCTGATCCCACAGACGCGCAGTTGAATGTTTTCACAGTTAATCACGCGCACAATGGCACAGTATCAACCTGTGATGAGGGACCACCCAACTCATTGCACCTTTTCCCCCGTATTTTCGCGGGATAAAGTTTCCGGCAGCTGTCATGGAAATCAGCTTTGTCCTTAACTTAACGGTTAACCAATGTGACGAGGACGAGCCGTGCGTATTTGTTCACTGAAGATTTGCTGCCGCTTTTTTTTCCTACGGAAAGCGCGCAACTGCAAATGCCACCGCGGTTCCTGAATGGCTCGAGTCCCTGCAGCAGTAGATCAACTGTATAATGTGCGAGTGAGTTTGGTCATTTGTACAAGCCGAACAAAGGTTGGTCTAAGCCAAATTGCATTGCACTTGTGAACCGGGGGCTCTACTCTTAAGTATCTTTTACAGCTGGGGGGACCGAGGACAATTTTGTGTGCGTCTGAAAAAGGCAGAAAAACAAAGGCACTTTCTGAAGCATCTTAAAGTAGAGTAGTGAGGCGTGACATTCCCAGGGCGATGGGACACAAAGGCTGAGGTCACGCGGATGAAAAAGAGAATCAAACAGCCACTTTCACACGTCTGCCCTCCGCCGCACAATAGGAAACAAATGTTGTTAAAAAAGGATCGATGCCATTCATTGTAAGGCAGCGAATGATAGCAAAACAATATTGTCAAACTGAATCAACTTTGGGATATGCTGCCACCCAGGAAAAAAAAGGAGGGACGGGGAGAGATTTTAGCTCTGCCTTTTACATCCGTGCAAGAGCCGTCAATAGAGAGGAAACCGAGCAGCACATTTTCAACAACAATAAAATAAAACTTTGGTGTGTAGCATGCCTTCATAACGACTCTGAAAACAGCAAAGGGTCCTACCACGAAAAAATATACACAAATAATAATAATAATAATAATAATGGCTAATTATTATATGTATTGCTTTATATGTTTTACAAATAACCCCGAGTTGAGTCATACTTGATAAAGAATTAAAAGCACAATGACATTGATAAACAAAGCTCAAAATCTTTATTTACTTACTTTTTTATTTAATTATTTGGTTTTTGTTGTTTGTTTTGGTCGCTGTAAAATATTTGGATTACTGTATGTAGATTAGGCTATAAACGGCGTGTTTTAGTTCATTAGTCTATTATTATTCATTTTTCTAGAAATGCCTATTATTAAAAACAGCCTATTTTAATGTTTCATCATTAACATAAACTGATCTGCTTTCTACGCGAAATCAAAGTGTCATGACAAAAATATTTGGCTGTAGATAAGGGTACACAAAGGTGTCTTTTAGTGCATAAGTCTATTATTTATAATATATATATATTTTTTTAGATAGGCCTATTATTAAAAACAGCATATTTTAATATTCCATCATCAACATAAACTGATTTGCTTTCTATGGGAAATCAAAATGTCATGCTAACATTTATTTTCTCAAAAGTGGAGTGTTTGTATAAGGTTTTAGGACACTTTGAACCGCAGAAGTTTGATTAATTATTTCATTCATTCATTCATTCATTCATTCATTCATTCATTCATTCATTCATTCATTCATTCATTCATTTTTCTTAGGCTTGGTCCCTTATTTATCCCCACAGCGGAATGAACCGGTAAATTTAGATCGAATAAAAACGTAATATATTATGACGTGCATCATAAGTAGTATATTTCAGTCATTCTGACCCATGCATATGTATAAATAATATATTGTATAATAACAGTCTTGTCACTCACAAAAAGCTGTAATACAATAAATACCCCTGCCTTACAAATATATTATTATTATTATTAATAATAATATTATTAGTATAGTCTCTATTAAAATAAATACCCCTGCCTTACAATTGTATTATTATTATTATTATTTATTATTATTATTATTATTATTATTTTCAATGTTATTATTATTATTATTGTTGTTGTTATTATTATCATTATTTTATTATAGTCTCTATTATAATAAAAACCCCTACCTTACAATTGTATTAATATTATTATTTTTATCATTATTATTATTATTATTATAGTCTATAT